GATTCTGTAGGCGGTTGAAGATCCCGTTTCCTAGGTGACAATGCAAGGGCTAAAAGTAGGCCACGAACACTGCCAGGAAGGCGACAGCCACCATGATCCAGGCCATTGCTGCGGCCGAGGTTGTGGCATCGCCGCTCTCAACCACTCTTGTCGTCAGAGGCTTCCTTATGCGACCTTCTGCCTCGAGGATAGCCTGGCGAGCGCCGGCCCACTTCCCGCGGCCTTGCAGGCGATAGTGGATGGGAGTGCAGGGTCCCACCAGTAACTCCAGGGCCAATCTGGGGTCCGTGAAGGCCAAGGAGAGCAGGTTGGGCCTGACACCCACCAGAACAGCAAGTTCTTCCATGGTGTCTGTGTAGTCTACCTGAATGGTGTGGCGCGGACTCTCCACATACCTGAAGCAGACAAGGGAGGAGTTATGGCCTGTCAAACAATTCAGCCGGCGGCCAGTGCTCTTCTGAGCACCTCTTATTGGTTCAATATTGGGCTAGGAGCTCTGGGAAGCAGGAAAGACAAAGAAGACTTTGTCCTTAAGGACTTCATAATCTACAGGAGAGGACACGATGAGACGAGTACAGATGAAGCAGAAAGATTTCTAAAACTTTGGGTAATTTGTATGGTTTTGGACTGCTAAATAGAAATGGAGGAGAGGGCAGTTAATTTGGAGCTGTAGGAAGTCCTGAAGGGGGGAGCTAAAGATAAACTGAGAACCAGAGAAAGTATCACAGTGACGAGCAGGGTGAAGGCATGAAGCAAGGGTGGGCATAGAACGTGGACACCGGATCTCCGGCACGCCGGACAGTGCCAGGATCACGTCGCGGATCAGCAGGCGGGTGCGGGGGCAGGGGCAGCAGACCGGACAGGAGGCCTCTGGTGTGAGCAGAGAAGGACCACAGAGCCCTCACGCCGGGGGTCCGGCCCTTTTGTTTTCAATAGTGCAACTGAATGTATGTTTCTCGAGAGATAAGAAAATATACAGTCCAATGCTGCTCTTATCAAGAACTAGTTAAACAGAAACGTTAACCACGTCTTCTGGGAATATGTCTTACCTTTTTGCAATTTTCTCTTGAACCATGGCTATTTCTCTGTTCATTTCACTTGGTGAGGGCAGTGTCTTTATCCCTAAAGAGAAAAAACTAAGTGTAAAATCAGCTCCCCAGGAACAGTAGCCCTATTAATAATTACTGTGCTGTGGAGAATTCACAGAAGTACAGAGCAGCTTTCTGTATTCCAGAAATTCGCTTCATCGTTGCATCCTGGTACTGCCCTGATATAATGACCCAAACTTCAGGCATTTGCTCTAGTCTGCTTTGTCTTTGGAAGACAGTTCTCCTGCTCTGCCTTCCAAATACATAGTCTGCTGCTGCCTCCTTCC